GTCGCGCGTGTCGGCGCCGTTCGAGAGGCCGGTGAGGCGATCGCGTGGGCCCGGTGTCTCCGAAGGGCCYGGAGCGGCCGTTCCCGGTCCCTGTGCTGCCTGTGCCCCCGCGGAGAGACCGCTGCACCTGGCAGGTTCCGTGATCCCCCCGGTTATCGCATTCCCTGTCCTCGTTGTGCTCCCGGACCGGCCGGTTCCGGAAGGCCGGAGGCTGTTTTCCGATTCCGTCTTTGAATATTCCTGCCGGAAGCAGCCATAACTTTAACCTAGTGCAGGTTTTGAAGTCAGAAAACGATTCTTTAAGCTGCGGTGCGTTGCAGCTTGATGACGTTTCCTACCTTTTCCCAGTTCCGTTCAGGAAAGAAGATGGCTCATCCCATCGCTCCCCCATTTCCATGCCCAGTCAAGCTTGGGACTATAAAAGGAGAATCCTTGGAAGCTGATCTGCATGATTATGTCAGGGAAGGGAACTATGTGAAAGTGAAGAAGCTTCTGAARAAAGGTAAAAGCTAACTTTAAACAAGTACTGGCAGAAAAGAATTACTTTTTCCTGTATGCTTTTATTTCTGGTTAAAAACAGCATACTGATTGTAGAATCCGGTTTTCTAAGTGAAATATGTTTACAAAATTACTTATAGCTGCCCTTTTCTGTTAAGTTGGTATAGTACTTGAATCAAAAAATGTATTAGAATAAGATAATGAAAAGAAAACGAAACTTTTATTACGAAAGTGCTCATAAGGAAATGGATGACGCATTGTAAAACTGGAATTCTGAAAGTCTGCAGTAGGAATATTCTCTCTGAATGGGATTTWAATTCGGATTGACAAATGCTTAAGGCACGGTTTAGATAATGGGGATYGTGACAACCAGATTCGTTGCCACACGGGGATTTTGTAAATGAAATTCAATACTTGGTGCAGTTCTATCGCGGTTTTAGGATCCGTGTTAGTATCTCAGTGGGTTGTACCCATCCACAGTCGCGGCTGCACAGTGCGGAGCTGGGCGGGATCGGCGCTTCTCGCGGGCGCGCGTCTGATTGGCCAGCGGAGCCAGAACATGCAAATCAAGGGGGCGTGTCCCGCGCTCCGCCACTCGCGGCGGTTTCGGGGGGCGCGGGCGCTGCCGAGGGGCTCGGGGCGCGCTCCCGCGGCTGCACGGCATCGTCGGGACCGCGCCGGCTGATCCCGGGAGCGCGCRGAGCCGGTGTTKGTGTGTGCCCGTGTGCTGTGTGTGGGTGTGCGCGGCTGGGCCGTGCGGCGCTKGGAGTGTTGCGTTAAGACTATACTTTCAGGGATCATTTCTGTAGTTGGTCACTAGAGGAGAGTGATCTACCCTGATCGGCGTCACAAACCACGAGGAGGAGCGAGGTGTTCTCTCCTGAGCGCGAAGCGGGCGTTCGGTGCTGCTTGGGCAGGGGCCGCTCGCCATTGATGACCGTTCCCGGTCCTGTTAGTGGGGCTTGGGAGGGAGAGAACACGGGCTGAGTGGTTTGTGGCCCTTTTTTTTATCATGGTTAAAAAAAGAGATGATGAATGAATGCAGCGGAATGCTCCCCGTCACGGGCACTTCCATCCCCTTTGCCTTAACACGCACCCCCTCGCTGCAGTGACGCGCTGGGGAGGCGGGAGCAGCCAGGCGGATTTAGGCATTATTGACCCGTCACGGTGTTCATTCAGGCCCACAACATTCTCGAACCCATCCGTTGTACGGGGCAAGGACACTTGGAGTTGTCTCTGGTGAGCGGTGATAATCAGAAAGTGGCACGGGACTAAGGAGAACTTGCTCAGGATTTGCCTGAAGATGTGGGAGTCSCTGTCGCACAGGGTACAAACTTTTGATCAGACTCTAAAAGCGGGTTAGGGAAAACTGCTCCATGTCCTGCTCTTTATACCGTGCAGTGCGACGGAAAAATGTGCCCGGTTAGATCCCGGGCCAGAGGCTGTCTGCTGTCATAGGGACAAACTGCTCGTGTTATTCTGTCGGCTGTGCTGTGGGGTCCGTGGTGCTCGGGCAGAATCCAGAGATGTGGAMGCGACTGTTGATTAAACAGTTCCGTGTGGGTATTTGCGGTCGGTACGCGAGTGCGTGCGTGAAAACCTCGGGAGCGGCTGGGAGGCAATGCACCCCCTCGGCAACCGGCGACAGTCGTGCCGCGCTGCTGGTGTTGGTACCGGGACTCTTGTCCTCCCTTGTCCCCGGCCGAGGGCAGCACGGGCTGAGACGGTCCCTTCTATCGTGTCGCGACAACTGTCGCCATTCGTAGGAAGAGGCAGCGGGTGCGGAGCCGCGCGTCTGATTGGCCAGCGGAGCCAGAACATGCAAATCAAGGGGGCGTGTCCCGCGCTCCGCCACTCGCGGCGGTTTCGGGGGGCGCGGGCGCTGCCGAGGGGCTCGGGGCGCGCTCCCGCGGCTGCACGGCATCGTCGGGACCGCGCCGGCTGATCCCGGGAGCGCGYGGAGCCGGTGTTGGTGTGTGCCCGTGTGCTGTGTGTGGGTGTGCGCGGCTGGGCCGTGCGGCGCTGGGAGTGTTGCGTTAAGACTATACTTTCAGGGATCATTTCTGTAGTTGGTCACTAGAGGAGAGTGATCTACCCTGATCGGCGTCACAAACCACGAGGAGGAGCGAGGTGTTCTCTCCTGAGCGCGAAGCGGGCGTTCGGTGCTGCTTGGGCAGGGGCCGCTCGCCATTGATGACCGTTCCCGGTCCCRTTAGTGGGGCTCGGGAGGGAGAGAACACGGGCTGAGTGGTTTGTGGCTCTTTTTATCATGTTAAAAAATAGATTCTAACAGAAATATGAGTAACAAAGGATTGTTCTCTCCAATGTGGACTAGACCTTTGAGTGCCTCCTGTATCCATCACGGAATTACTGAAGTTAGCAAAGCCCGATGAGTCCAASCATTAACGCAGCCACTGCCATGTTACAGCTAAATGATTCCCCCAAGTGCCACAGCTAAATGTATTACAAATAAATCCCTTCAGGGATGGGGGGGACTCAATCATTGTCCTGGCCAAACTGTGCTAGTGTGATAACACTTCTGGTGAACAGCAGTTCCTAAATATCCTCCACTGGTGGAACTTGAGGCCGTTTCCTCTTATCCTGTCGGCTGTTATGTGGAAGGAGAGGCAGACCCTAGCTGCCTACATGTTCTTTTCAGGCAGTTGCAGGGAGGGAGAAAGTCCCCTTGGAGTCTCCCTTTTCTCCAGGCTGAGCCCCCCCGTCCCACCTCCCTCAGCTCCTCCGCATTAGATTTGTGCTCCAAACACTTCCCCAGCTCTGTTCCCTTCTCTGGACGCACTCCAGCCCCTCAATTCCTTCTTCGTGGGCTGGGGCTAAAACTGGACACTGGATTCGAGTTGTGGCCTCACCAGTGCTGAGCACAGGGGACGGTCACTGCCCTGGTCCTGCTGGTCACACTATTGCCCACACAAGCCACATTCCATTCGCGTTCTTGGACACCTGGGCACCCTGCCTGCTCCTTGTTCTTGTGCAGCCCCTATCAAGCGGCACGCCCAGGGCCTTTTCCCCCAGGCAGCTTTCCAGCGACGCTTCCCAAAGCCTGTAGCGTTACTCGGGGTTGTGACCTAGTGCCCATCAGYGAGTGACAAGGGACAAAGGAAAACCGGGTCGCGATTCCGCCTCCCGTGACATGTGGCGGTCCCAGCGCGGGGCGCGGCGGTTGCGTCACCGGTCGGGAAGGGGGGGGGGGACGGCGGTGGGAGGGCGCGGGCTTGTTTCTTATTGGCTAGCGGAGCCAGAACATGCAAATCAAGGGGGCGTGTCCCGCACTCCGCCACCCGCGGCGGTTTCGGGGGGCGCGGGCGCTGCCGAGGGGCTCGGGGCGCGCTCCCGCGGCTGCACGGCATCGTCGGGACCGCGCCGGCTGATCCCGGGAGCGCGCGGAGCCGGTGTTTGTGTGTGCCCGTGTGCTGTGTGTGGGTGTGCGCGGCTGGGCCGTGCGGCGCCGGGAGTGTTGCGTTAAGACTATACTTTCAGGGATCATTTCTGTAGTTGGTCACTAGAGGAGAGTGATCTACCCTGATCGGCGTCACAAACCACGAGGAGGAGCGAGGTGTTCTCTCCTGAGCGCGAAGCGGGCGTTCGGTGCTGCTTGGGCAGGGGCCGCTCGCCATTGATGACCGTTCCCGGT